ATTAATATTGTACTACCAAAATTTACTGAGGAAGCTAAATGAATAGCAAAACATATTACGTTTGTAAAGAATTTACTACTGTTTCCTTATTTAATCTATATTTTCAACGTATATACGCTTACACATACACTTTTCAGATAGATAGATAGATAGATAGATAGATAGATAGATAGATAATGTATGTATGTATGAATACGTCGAATTAATTATACACGCATTTGGGAAGTTTATATTTCTTCCCGTTTCTGAATTTAAACACTAATCAAAGACTTTCTCTCTTGAACTTCATTCTCTTCCGGCGTCGTTAATTGTTTCGACATGAATCAAGGAAAATTCCCGGGGATATAATTCACTTTAAAAAATGTACTATCGAAATATCATTGAAGTCACACAGATCAAAAGAAATGCCTGATTTCATCTTATCATTATCAACTTGCAATCAAGCTTTGTAATGTCGTTTTGACAACGTCGGCAAAGTCGTCGCATCGTCAAATAGGTTAAACTATTTCTTTGTCTATATCGTTACCTGCGTTGATTTTGAAATTGCCTATCGCTCTCTCTGATCATATTTCAAAGATAATAGGAAAAAAGACAACAGCGCAAAATAGATAATGTTGTTAACTAAGGCTTCTTTTCAAACTAAAGTTTATTCAGGTAATTAATACGCCCTATCGCAATGTGTCAAACATTTTTTAATGGACTAAGCGAAAAAAAATTATAAATATCCTTATTCAGATAAAGGTTGCGCGTTCAAACCCTATCGGGGGATTATTTTTATTTACGATGCTTGCTTTTATGATCGTAGAATAACGACATGAGTGTTAAAAAAAATGAGAAAATGACAGAAATAAGGCGAAATTATTATTATTATTATTATTATTATTATTATTATTACCTATGCCATATCGTTTTTGGACGTGAGCGATAATGGCTCTCCACAACTATTCCTGTCTTTTGTTGCTCTAAGTAAGTGGTTCTCAATCTTTTTTTATTTTTTTTTTACATATAAACCACTTTTACTCTTAACATTTTTGGAGGACCCCCATAAGCATTTGATGAAAAAAATGTTTATTTTATTTTTTACTAATAGATAAGTTTAGGAATTGTATTATATAAATAGCAAATTTATATATATATATTTTTTTTTAAGCATTACGCCCCAAGCAAGGCGTGAAGCCACTAGGATGCAGGGGGTTGCAGAAGATTTGGAGCAAGAGCAGATAGGAGTGATAGAAGAAAGGATGAGGAGAAGGATAGTGGGTAGATCAAGGTAACTGGAGGTGTCGATTGACATTACATTTGAATAGTTGGAGATTATAGCTTTCAGGGAAATAGTAATTGGGAAGGGTGTTCCACTGGCGAGAGGTGCGAGGTATGAAGCTATTGGAGTAGAAGAGACGGCTACATTTAAAAGTTTCTACAGTGTAAGGGTGGGAGCGGGATGCCAGCCTCGTAGGGCGCTTGAATTCATGGAGTCTGGGAACCAGTGAAAGCAGCTCATCGGAGCAATTACCATGAAAGTATTTGTAGAAAAGACAGGGAGAGGCGACGGCGCGTCTGTTAGAGAGTGACTGCAGACGAGACGCCAGATCAGGGCCAATTAGATTACATATCCGTCTCTGGATCTTGTCAAGAACTCCGAGGTAAGCAGAAGGTGCTCCAGCCCATATATGGCAGCAATACTCCATGCAAGGGCGAATGGTTGTTGTGTATATTTGAAGTATCGATTCAGGGGAGAAAAATTTCCTGGCGCGGCACAGAGAGCCAACTTTCTTCGCGTTGGAAAAAGCAATTGACTCAATGTATTTGTTCCATCTCAGGTCTGCAGTCAGCGTGAGACCGAGCAGACGCAGGGATTTGCTCTCAGGAAGTTGACTATCAGACATTTTAATGGGGGCAGGGAAGGATCTCTATGGTGGTTAATGGAGAGTAATTTAGTTGTTGAGGCGTTAAAGTTGACCAGCCAATTCTTGCCCCAGTTAACAACCGATTGGAGGTCCATTTCAAGACGCATGGTCAGGTTAGTTTTGTCGCCGACACTAGATTTGTTTTTGAGGCAGGAGTAAATTGTAGTGTCGTCTGCGTAGATACCAACTTGGGAATCTATGGCGTCAGGAAGGTCATTGATGAAAATAAGGAAAAGAGTGGGGCCAAGGATGGAGCCTTGGGGAACACCTGCGTTCGTGGAATAGGAACTGGAGGAGAATCCGTTGAGAACGACCTTCAATTCTCGGTTTGACAGGAATGATTGTATTAGGTCAAACAGTCGACCAGTAATACCATAACCCTGGAGCTTACGAAGAAGGCCGGCATGCCAAACCCTATCAAACGCTTTGGAGATATCTAGGGCCACGTTACGAGCCTCACCGTTATTTTGAAGGGCTTGGTAGACGGTTTCAGTGATGGCCGTAAGCACATCACCAGTCGATCGGGCGTAGCGGAAACCATATTGCTTGTCTGAGAGCAGATCATGGGATGTAAGGTGGTTAACCACTTCGGCATTGATTAGGACTTCAAAGACTTTGCCGAAGCGGGGTAGGAGACTAATAGGACGGTAATTAGAGGGGTCAGAGGGGTCTCCAGAGTTCTTAAACACAGGAACAATGGATGAGGACTTCCAGCAGACAGGAAAACAGGATTCCTTGAGGCAGTAATTATACAGTTTAGAGAGGGCGGGTGCTAGCTCAGGCGTGCATTTCTTCAAGACAATGGCTGGTATGCCATCTCCGCCACTAGCCTTGTGGGGGTCTAAGTTGGAGATAATGCCTAGTACCAATGACGGGGTTATGTGTAAGCCACTCAATAGGGCTTCAGTTCTTGGAGGGAAGTCTGGTATGGGTACACCGGTGGAGTCGAGCGTTGAATTAAATGAGAATTTCCGAGCAAAGCATTCAGCCTTGTCGATAGAGGAGGTCAAGACCTCGAACTGGTTGAATAAAGGAGGTATGGAGGGTTTCTATTGTTCAGGACACTCTTGCAGACCCGCCAATAATCTTTGGAGCCAAATTTGCGAGATGCAATACGTTCCTTCATCCGAGCAGCAAATATTGACTGAGCTTCGTTGAGGACACGCTTACACTCGTTACGGGCGGAGGCAAAGAGACGTCTATTGCAGTCCGACATGTCGCTACGAAATGTGTGAAAGAAGTGATTCCTATGGGCAATAGCGGCTGAGCAAGCAGCGGAGAACCAAGGGGAGGAGTGCGACTTGACCTTAAATTTCCTTGAGGGGATGAAAGCGTCGATTCCAGCTTTAACCCAGGATGAGACCTCAGAAGCACATTCTTGGACAGGGAGTGTAAAGACATCATCCCAGGTGACATCGCGGAGGAAGTCACGGAACGAGTCCCAATCCGCTCGTTGATAGTAACTTCCTTTATATATAATCTTTATATAATTTATATATGAAATTAATTTTATTATTATTATTTTCATTTTTTAATATTTTATATTAATTATTTTATATTAATATCTTAATATTTTATTAATATTTAAAATTAATATAATTATTTATTATTAATGTATTAAATTAATTTAAATAACAAATAAACTTTATATAGTTTTTCTTCATACATATAATCCTTCCATTATATATAGTTCTCAGTTTTTATTCTACTTTTACAATCAAAGCACCTGATACATTAATAGGGTCGCTAACTTATACCACTTGATCTCGCTTTCTGCTAGTTTTAGATATGTTTTTATTATTTTAATATGGCGTAGATTACTGTAGAAATTCCAGTTCTCTGTTATAACAAATTGCTCAATTAACCACTAAAATATTACCTTGGACTCCTAGTTTGCCTTTCTTTTGTGTGGACCCCGAGTAATGTTATATGTATCACTGTTGTAAGTAACCCTTGCCCATTAGTTCAATCAAACACGTCAAGTAGGTTATTCGCTGCGTTCTGCTTTTCTTACCTTGACGAGCTACGCCCGTTAGTTCCACTAGTTCAAACTTTCACAGCTGCAACCCGCTATGTCACGTTTACAAGGCCGATTTATCTATCATTGCCATCGTATTTCAATGTCAAGAAGGACGTTCCATTCGGATGTCTTTTTTTAATAGAACTGTTACTTTGTGGAACAGACTCCCGAGAGGATACATCTCAAATCACTACAATCTTTAACCACTTCAAACCTAGGCTAAACTGTTGTTAATCTTACATATCCTCACAATATGCACTTTTGACGTCCTCTATTTACTCCCTTACAATATGTTCATTCAATAAACCGCTACATTATTGCTTTTGGGCCTTGTAGTGTGTGGCACCATGCATCCAGGCAGAGAAAGAAAGGCAGAAAGGGAAAAGAAAGAAAAGAAGAAAGGAAGGGATAAGTGAGGCGAGATCCGAATCAAAGGTGATAAGCGAACACACACACGGCTAAGAGGCAATAAAAAAAGAAAGGGTTATTTTGATAAGTGGCAAATGGCGAAAGAGTGTCATCACAATGACAATGAGATTTGAGTGGGTAGGGAAGTGTTATCTAAGGATATGAAAACAAACTATTGGTACGGGAAGGCATCTTATTATCAACACAGACCACCGGCCAAGGGAAAAATTCAAGTGAAAATGTTATTTCGATAAGGGACGAAAAGAAACAGGCGACTAAAAAAGACTTTGGACAGATATGAAAATTAAAGGCCACCTACGAGTAATCGTTGACCGATTTTCCTACTTGGCCTGCGCGAATGGAATTGTGTTATCAAGAAATGTTCGCCAAAGAAAGTCCAATTGAAAACGTTAATTTTGATAATTGACAAAACACAGGTGTAGCTACAGAGCCTTAGTTAGATATGGAAAATTAAAATCCCACACAAGCAGTCTCGCTAACTAAATTCTTTTCGACAAAACAACTTTTGCCTGCGATAATAAATTTATGTATTTTTTTTTTCCGAAACAAAGCCGCGGATTGTTCACGCCCGACTAAGACATCATTGGTCAAGTGGTGATCACGTGACGCACGAGGGAGGAGGAGAGATACCCGACCAAGACCTCATTGGCCGAGACTGATCACGTGACGCACGAAGAAGGCTGTCGACGCCCCCATCCAAAGTATAAGTATGAGAAGCTGCTACGAAGAAGTGGGGAGGGCAGTTCACGCCCCTCAGAAGTATGGTGAGAAAGTGGGAGTGAGAAAAAGTTACCAAAAATGGAAAAGAGTGGAAAATCCCTAACCAGAAATAAAAGAGGTGGATATGTATTTAGAATTATCGAGGAACCCCGGACGCCAACAGACCCACCCCGGTTTTGGTCGGCGTCAATAAAAAGCCAGGCCCCAACAGGCAGAAATCAGTTCGGGCTCTGGCGGCAGAGATGAGTGAACAGAGAGTTCGAGCTCTAGTTTCCAGAGTTGAAGCCACCTCGAGATAGCTGACCAAGATTCACGCAAAATTCCGGACTCCTCTTCAACCAAGAACAATTATTTTGAAGAGCGACTTAGGATCAGACCACCGAAATAAGTTTTTTTCGACTTTCGTCCAAAGACACACCGAAACACAAATTTCTTGGAGAGCAGACAACTTGAAGCGTTAAAACTTGCCTAGCGAAAACGACGTGTCACAATCCACAGAACGGGTCGGGAGATAGATGCAGTCCTATGTATCGAACAACTAGACATAATGTTTGTTACCTTTTTCTTTGATACTTTGAGTTTTCATTTTGTTTTCTTTTATGCATATTTGTGTGTTATCACCCCCGTTGAACTCAATTTGCATTACGGCCCCAACCACTGTTTGATCTCGTCTGTCTAAGATCAATTCACAACGTGGGTAGGCAGACTGGAGATCAATTCAGTTACCTTGGTAACCAGGCGTTGGAAGCGAGTTGGGAACGACGAGGCTGATATCAAATCTAACCAGATTCCCACCCGAATCACCAAAAGGTTAGAACGTCACATTTGGGTGCCGCGACCGATACCAAGCCCGTTGGTCGTCACAGGACGAGACAACACGACTGACGCGACAGGCGGACGTCACGTTTGGAGCAACGACACCCGGACGGAGCAGCGAGGAGCGAACAGCTGGCGCCGCGGCGAAGACATCACAAGTGGTGATGTTTGAGGACGTCACAACTGGCGCCGTGGTAGAGCAGGATAGAACGTCACAGTTGGCGCTGCTACCGGGGGACGACGTCACAGTGGGTAAACTGTTATTATAAATAAGATATAATTTGACAGTTAAATTCTCCAAGCTTTCTTTCCCCATTATGTGTCCAAGAAAATTCAGTTGTCTTTTTCTTATCGTTAACGACATTTTTCTTGTGGTTCTTATTTTCTTATTTGCTTGGGTTGAAATGATTTTAAAAAATTGTCAAATATGAACATTTTAAAGGTCCACATCATTTTGCATTTTTGAAATACTTTTTCTCTTAACTTCACACTGACTTTAGCTGAATATTAGCCGAAATTCTTACAAAATAATGTTTGAATTACGTGATTAAGATTTGCCACTGGAGTTATTCTCCTGGTAAAGAGAAGATTATGTTGAGAAATAATTGTTTTTCTCCATTGTTAGATGCCGCAGATGACGTCTATCGAAAGAAAGGGAAAAATAATAAACACAACGAAAGAAATCCATTGATCAACAAATTCACGTATAGGTAAATTTACATATATCTGTACGTACCAATTTATTAATGTATCTCAATATATATATATATATATATATATATATATATATATATATATATATATATATATATATATATATATATATATATATATGTAAGCAAATATATATTTTCTTTCATATATATATATATATATTTAGAGAGAGAGAGAGAATGAGGGAGAGATAAACGCAAAAAGTAGATAATAAATGTGGAAAATGATGTAAAAGAGAAGAAGAAGAAGAAGAAGAAGAAGAAGAAGAAGAAGAGTAAAAAGGAGAAGGGGAAGGAAATATTAGGAAAAGAATTGACAAATCGCGCAGAGTAAAAGAAACTGTTTAAAAAAAGCAATAATTAAAAGAGCTATAAACACAAGGAAAATTTTTTTTAAAATCCCACAGAAGCTGGGAAAAAATAACAAAATAAGAAAAAATGAAGAAGAACTATCCCAACCCACACTCTGACGCACACACATTAAGGAAAAAAATGACAGCAAAAGCAAGATGGCCGATTGCAAGAACAATAATAATGAGAATAGCGATTGAACAAGATGAAGGCGGGAACGAGCGAAATAAAATGATTTGCTGAGAGGAGTTTAATGGTTGGATTTCTTTCTCTTTCGCTTTCCTTTGTTTTGTTTTTTTTTTTTTTTTGTTTTTTCGACTATCAACATTTCACTATGAATGTTGAATGTGATTCCAGTCAGGGCTGCGTGATATCTTATCCATCATGTGGGAACACCACACCGGGCACCGAATGGCGCGTGAGCAGAATGCCGGGCCTCTGATCGTTATCTGCTTACGATTTTCAAATTCGATTATCTTGCTTTCGCCTCTGTTCCTCTTTCTGTTGCTCTCGCTACGCCTCAATGAAATTGAAGAAACCTTCAACTGAGGAAATTAAATTGCGAACGTTGGCGAGCAAGGGGGGTGGCGGAAAGGAAAAAAACCAAGGGCGAGGTGTAAAGAATAATAAAAACCATTAGGGAGGTCGAAGCCTCAAGGTGCATTCCCGAAGGAAAAATGTCACTTACTCCGAGTTAAAAATGTTAAGATACTATTTTTTTTTTCGTTTTTATTCGGTAGTTGTTCGTTTTATTTTTTTATTGATAGAGAGCTGCGGATAATTAAAAAGATATGTGAAGGATTTCAAATTACAGTTTTCTGATATGACGAAGAGTTGTCGAATCGTTAAAGGTTGAGAAAGGTATTCAACAATTCGGATGTTTATTTTTCTGATTCTAACTGAATTAGTGAATCGACCAAGATTTATTTTTAACAGAAATCAGCCTAACAACATCCATTTCTTTCTGTTGTATCCCCTCAGAAAACGTAGATGATCATGGCTCCCCACAACTTCATGCCCTTTGTAGCTCTGTTATTCAGAGCTACAAAAATGCAAAATGATGTGGACCTTCAAAATGTTCATATTTGACAATTTTTTAAAAATCATTTCAACCCAAGCAATTAAGGAAATAAGAACCATAAGAAAAATGTCGTTAACGATAAGAAAAATACAACTGAATGAGGAAAGAAAGTTTGGGGGAAAGCTACAAAGATATTGTCTTTTTGTTATTTCTCCTAAACACTCTTCCGCCATCCATTTAGTCAAGCTCACTAAGTACGTTATGAGTTGTTTACCTCTGTCCCTCTTGCCTTCAATCTATCCTGTGAGTATCAGATTTTCCAAGACCTCTTTCCTCATTTTGTGTCATAGAAATTTCAACTGTCTCTTCCTGATATTAAGTACGCATTTCCTTTTTGTTTCTATTTTCTCTAAAATTTCGTCGTTGCTTATATAATTGGTCCATGTTATCCACATCAGCCTTCTGTAGAACCTCATTTCTATTGCTTCAAGTCTCTTCTTCATCGTTAAGGAGGTTGTCCAGCACTCACTATCATATAGGAGGACAGATATCACGTAACAGTTCAGTACATTTTTCTTTGTTTCTGGCGAAGTTTTCTATCTCTTAATACTCTGCTTAGCTTTTGGAAATCCCCTTTGGCTATAACCAATGCGCCTTTGGATATCAATGTTGCACTTTCTATAACGACATGCACTGCGTGGATGAAATTGTGTTAACAGAAAATCCAAAACGAAATCTGATAAAATTGTTAGACGAGGCAGGTTTTTAACGCTAGAATTCACCCAATACAAGGCTCTGTAACCACTGAAAGTAGAGGGTTACTGTTAAAAATGGTAATAATGAATGCGTTGTAAGATGAAAGAGATGGTGGAAGTGAAGATTATGGGAATAAGACGGAATAATAATGACTGACCTTTGACTTGAAGAGGCTATAATACATTATTCAGAGAAGCACACACGCAGTAGACTTTTTCATAAAATAGTAGTTCTTGATTAAAAACAAAGTTAGAACTTACTTTCTTCCATTGGAACACGTAGGAAATGAGGGTTTTAGACTCTGTGGAAGTAGCATGGACGAAAACGTTGCACGGATACAAAGAAAGGTCATTAAGAATGTGTCTTTCTTTCCGACATTTACATAGTCACACCTGCAGCTCCAAAATGACTAATACTTTTAGTAGAAACTATCACCTTTCTGGAGTGTCAAAGGAATTTCAAAAGTTCAGCATCTACTGTGCTGTGATACACACGACCATCCGCTATGGGTCAGAAGCATTGACCACTTATTTCATCCTTATTAATAAACAACAACAAAAAAAGAAAACTCGATGTCTTCCAGAAAAAATTGTTATCGCACCATCTGTGGTGTCTCTACTGGACGATGAGTGCCCAATGATGCCATAAACTTGTCAAATGTGACATTGGTGGGATTGAATCTTGTTAAATGTAATCTCATCATATATGCGTTGGTTATGTTGTGGGGACATTAAAACGTCTCGTGTATTGCCATCTTGATGATGGCACACGTAACCAGAGGTAGAACATTTCTTTGCTTCGAAGACAAATTCAAATACAACATCAATTGATGTAGATCCGCTGGAAAGAAGAGGAAAAAATTAAAATTTCATATTCCTTGTATAACAGATCACATAGCTTAGATTTACGACAGGCGAATTTACTGCTCCAACTAAAACAATGTTCCCTCAGCGAGTGAACGCCTATTGAAACTTAAACTCAGTCCAGACCTCAAGTAGAACTCTTACATACGATCCATAGTAAAAGATGTTGAGAAAATAGTCGGTTGCCAGTACCGCTTCAGTAAGTAACTCACACCTCCTGCGATCTTATAAATAAGCCATATGCGGCCGAAAATGGAATAGTGCAGCTATGTATGGGCAGGAGCTGCCCAGTTTTCACTTTCCACTCTCGATAGAGTTCAAATGTGTCCTCGCGTCCTTGTGGGTAACGACTTATTTTCCACCCTACTACCTCTTTATCATAGGCGAGACACCGCAAGCCTCTCACTGCTCTATCGAAGGGTTTTCAGGTGAATTTTACTTCTTAGTTCTACCAGTCATGCGCGGGCTGCGGGCAATTTTTGTTCCTGGCCAAGGTGAACACGCTCGGGTCCCCACCTTAAAAAAAGACCTTGTGTCACAACTCGTCTTAGTGGGGAGACAGACCTAGTTACACCAGCCGTAAAACTTCACGCATATTGTAGCACACCACGCTTATTCACTTCGTATTCCATTGGTGGGATGTAAGTTCCACTTGAGCAGTTTCTTCCCACAAACCACTGCCTTTTGGAGCTGACTTAAGAGGCTGCTTCCTCGATCACTTCAATCTTAACTTGTTCAAGTCTAAGGTTAACCGTTATCTTTCACATATATTCGCATAAGCTGAGTCTTTAACTGTGTAGCCCTCTATCTCGAGTCACTCTCGGCCTTTCTACAGTGTGAACATTATTGTAAAAAAATGTCTGTCAGTATTCGTCTTTCTTTTTTTGCGATCAAAACAACTAATCGTACTGAATTTGGAACTCGCTTGCCATCAAGAGAATCAAAAACATCCAGAAATCACGTCTTGACCAACTTCATGAATTAAAATCTAACACCAACATTCATTCAAAAATAAAGTCACTTTCTGCAAATATGGGTGGGTATGCAAATAGGAGACTGACCTAAAAACTCAACCGAGGCATAAACACGAAAACTGAACTTTGAGTTCTTCTTCCATCATACGTGAAAAATGAATGGAGACCTATCATTAGATATATAGTCCAAGTAACGTGTATTTATTTTTCATTATTAAATCTTTGATTAGACTTCAAAGCGTATTTACTTTTGTTTCCGTACCTGAAAACGCGTGTTAGTAGATACAAGATATATATATATCAAGTATACAAGAATTTCAGTTTTCAATCAAGCGCTTTCGGTTATTCTTTTTGTGTAACACCGTCATAGCTGGTAATTTTTTTAAAAAATAACTATAGAAAAAAAAAGAATTTACGTCATTACGTGTGACTGATAAGCTTTGCCGTTGTACGTTGCTGATATGACTTTCTTCGTTTTTCTTTATTGAGTTCAATTTCAGGCAAAAAATACAGAGTGCTGGAGAAATACAATATACATTTTAAACTGTCCTCTGTGTGGTGACATGAACTTTGGTAAGTGGCAGTGGTGTCCTTCATCTGGTTACTGTCTTACCATTTGTTTTTCAGATACCATCAGTTACCACCATGGATTGGACCGGTGAAAACTGTGTGTTTGCGATTGAAATGTTTTTAAGCCTGGTGAATCTGTAATTGCAACACAGAGCTTCTGTGATCATTTACTTTTACGTCGGAATGATGCTGTTCCGAAGAGAAAATCGATACTGACATGGGTTGAATATTTCAGGGCCACAATTTCAGCGCTTAAAAGAAAGCCGCCTGGAAGACGTCGAAGCGATCGAATTTCCAGGTTATTCTAGAAATCGCCAACAACAGTTTAGCGAATAGAGGCCACCATTTGGAAGATGTCATTTTTAACATGAAATGAATAGAAACTGTAGTCTTTAGTCTACAAAACAATGAAGTAGATTTTTGAATAACATTTACATGAGTCTCTTTTTTCAAACTTTAAAATGTGGGAAGTAATTCTGTCGCACCTTGTGTAACGACACTTTCGAATATACATTAACACTTCATAAAAATAAGAGATAGCAGTACGTAAAGGTAATGGTAGATGACGCAGACCCCATGGAACCATGACTCAAGTTGTCAACAAGTCACCATGCAGTCTGATATGCCCCCATTTTGTACAGAGAAAAGAGTAAACCAGAAAATACAAAGGAAATCGTTTCCCCATGACTATTTTTTAAGTTGCTGATAACAAAATAATTGCCATAGCCAGTGATAGCATATTCCTGCAGAGACAACTCAACTGGATTTTGAATGCATTTTTCTCACAGTAAATGTGTTGATCTTATTTTTTATGTTTTAAAACAGCTTTTAAATAGTCCTTCATTTAACTTTGATATATTTAAAAAGATTATTTTCTTTGATCAAGCCGCTTAATATTTTTTTTTATTATTAATGACGGAAAGATTTTGAAGTCTCAATGCGGAAAAAAAGAAAAGATTTTTTTTTTCTCCGAATCATTAAGATATTGAAAGCCAAAAAATATTTCTGCTTTTATTCAAAATCGAACTAATATTCGATTGGGGATATTCTCCATGAAATCTATATAATGTCTTTAAAAAATATCGAACTTTGTCTGAATCTTTCGCGTTCGTTTGATTGAAACGTGACAATGACACTACAATTGCAGCAAAGAGACAATTGATAGGATTGGATCTCGTCCTGAACAAAAGGCCAGAAGTGACGTCGAAGAAGCGATGCGTCGCTGATAGAAGACATTGGATGAAACTCGCACGATCAATATTTCAATCGACTCTTGACAATTCCAAAAGAAAGGGGGAGAAAACAAAAATATAAAAAAAAAAGCGATAAACAATCCGAGGTGAATTGCGGATGTCTGCATCAAGTAATTCAGTATAGAGATGGCGATACGGAAATAAATCTTGTATTCTTTTTTTTCTTTTTTCACTTTTAAAGAGCGTAGAAGCCAACCAATTTTCCCTGTCGAGAAATTGACAAACAGTATCAAATGCGTAGCATAGAATCTCATTTTGAAATGGGTATTCGATACAATTTCTTTTTAACCAAGAAAATCAAGGAAGATGAGCGTCAGCCATTATGCATCATTTGTGTTTGAAAGACTGGAATTTACGATTGATATTTACACCACACTTTAGATAAAAAGAAAAACTCCTTTGTAGATAATCAATATTCCATTTGCGAATTTAAGCGAACGCCGTGACATAAATTTTGGTGAATATTTCGATGTTTACTTACATCATCTTCAGAAAACATAAACAAAAGATTCTGTCACAAATTTTGTAAATAATAGTTAAAATCCGAATTCTAATTAAACTACTAATATAAGGATACAGAAAAAGTATTCCATTGGATTTTACAAATATTTCTATGTATATTCACATCTTTTCTGTATATAAACCAAAAGAGGACAGTCCGTCTGAAGTTATTACGCAAATCATATAAACTTCAATGACTCGAATTTATTGAACAATTTTGTGGCAAATTTTAAATGATAAATTTAGACGTCGAAACAAAGCTTAAGTTAAATTTTTAAATAGTTTCAAAATATCTTATTAAAATTATTGAGTTTATTATAAAAACGGCAGTGAGAAGGTATTACACAGATTAAACTAGTTTTAGTTTAACACATCTGAAATCTGATAAAATCTATTTTTTTCTATAATATATTTTGAAATATCGGTAATGAAAAGGATCTAAAATTGCTGAAAAACAAAAAATAACAGTTATTGTGTGAGGGACTGTTCACTTTGAAGATATCAAAGAAGCTTAACGGAGATCATGGAACGATAAAGACGGCTGATGAAAATATAACTAAATTGATAACTAAAAGCAAATTTCAGATGATAAGGTAATCTATAATTGACCAAAAACAAAAACAACAGGATTTTCCCAACCATGTAACAACAAAAGGAGCTTATATTGTAACCACATTAGACATAGCAATTCGTTCACTAGCTCAGTCACTAAATCTACTTTCAAACTCTTCCACAACTCTAACTGTAGAAGTCATAACATAATTTACCTCCTGGAATGCACACTATGTCGGAAACAATATGTGGGAAAATCTGAATGGCCCTTTCATTACAGAATTAATAATTATCGGAATCGGATCAAGTCGGCTCCCCAGTTTGTCTGATAATTTTGTTTTTTTAATATTTTTTATTGTTCAAAACATACAAACACACAAACACACACACGCACACATATGTGTGTGTGTGTGTGTGTGTGTGTGTGTGTGTGTGTGTGTGTGTGTGTGTGTGTATTTTTGCAGCAATCCCTGTTTTATACAAGTTTCGGAACTCCGGTTAAGTTTTCAGGCAAGGTGATTTTAGTATCGCGTTATGTTTTTGGATTTCATCATTTAAATGTTGAATTTCATTTTTAGCTGTTGTTATTTATCGTAAACATATATTGAAACATTTAGCAAGTTTAGTTAAATACTAATAGGGTAACACAGCGTTTCCGGGATAAATAGAATCAAATAAAACAAAACTAAAAATATTTCTTCCTTGCACATAAATTAAAAAATATAAATATTATTAATGTATAACCTTGTATTTGGTAATCCGTCTCTTACATTTTCTTAAAAGTTCTGCTTTTTGATCATTTATTGTGTTTCTATGGCTGACTGCAAGACGCTGATAGAATTCACAATGAACAACTACTTTATTGTGATTCATACTGATATGACTGGCGCAGTGATATTATGCATTATTATTGCTCCTCCCCCACCAATTCTTCTTCTTGCAATAATAATAATAATAATAATAATAATAATAATAATAATAATAAGAAGAAGAAGAAGAAGACATAAAACCCGTCAGTTTCCCTTGAAAATTGCACTAGATAAGGACATCAAAATGACAGGAGTCACGGGGCAAGGAAAAATTTTTTGTCCTTGGTTCGTATGTACGCGTATTGGCACCCCACCTTGACCTGACCAAAACTCTACAGGAGTTGGTAAACACCTTACACACACAGATAGAATTCATAACGAATAACTATTTTATTGTTGTTCATACTGATGTGACTGGCAGTGATATTATGCTTTATTATTGTTCCTCCTCCTCCTCCACTTTTCTTCAGCTTTTTCTTCTTCTTCTAATAATAATAATAATAATAATAATAAGAAGAAGAAGAAGAAGAAGAAAAGCCCGTCAGTTTTCCTTGAAAATGTATGAAGTTGCATCGACTTGAACTGGTGCCGCAAGCGATGTCCCTCACCTCTGAATAAATGGAACTGGCTATTTGTCGACAGTTGACAGGTTTTTAATGTCTATGGCCTCAAAGGGAAGTCGTTGTAATGTGAAGCCCAAAGGGCCAAAGATGAAAATTGAAAGCAGCAGAAGATAAGAAAAGGAAATGGTCAGAGTGACGACAGTCGAACACTTTCATTGCCACTGATTGTCAAAACAGAATATACAGTACAAATATTTGTAAAAAAAGAAAATGTCTTCACTAACAGACAATATCAGAAACAAAACTCATATATCTAGAAAAAAAAAAACGGAAAACGGAAAAACATTATAGCTCGAATATAATGACATTTCGATGTCTACTTGCAGTCTTTCCACACACCAATATATTCTGATAAGAATGTGAATATACATCGCAAATATAAAGCTTTTATTGGAGTTTTTTTCTCACGCAAGAAAAACTAAATCATTTTGTACCAAAATACCTTCTATTCTCGAGTATTTGTTTAATTATTAAGATCATATATGACTTTACATATGTTCAATGGAGTTTCTTCAGCTTAAAATTATTCGATTTACCACCAGAAAATGACAAAATATGCGGCAAATAAAATTCAGAAGTTGTGAAATGCCTTCGTTAGAAGGCTAACTCAGTAATTTATATTTTTGAATATTTAATATAAATTGTCTTAACACCAGCAATCTCATCATATCACAGTAATCCGAAATTTAAGAAAACAATTAAAATTGTTTCGATATTTTCACACTTAATATTAAAACCTACATCAATCTTGTAAAATTATTTGCACTTACACAGAAAAACTATTCTTGTGCTGTGAACAAATTCAGAGAGATATTATTAAAATCTTTTCAATGCACATTTCTTGATGTTTTTTAATAAATTTACCTCGGGAAAGGCGACAATGCCACTACGACGCAAGGGGCTATTAGGTGTGAAAGAGAAATAAAAGACTTTAGAAGGAACGAGAAAACCCAACCGTAAACAAGAAACATGAGATAAAACATTACTTCTGTTCGGGAGGAGTGTGGACCAGACGACAGACGGACTTACCTACTCCTATTGAGGAGAAAAAATAGTTCAGAGACATTAAAAGAATAGAGTTGAAGTAGAGTTTAGAAAGAACCGGAAATTCAATTCTAAACAAGAAACAAAGAATAAAACTCTAGCTTTTTCAAAAGAGCGGGAAGGAACGTGAACTGGACGATAAGTGAACCTTACTTCGATTGAGGAAAAAATAAACAAAAAATATTCAATTAAATTTCTGAGTTTAGGCGGAGATGTTAAAAGTATAGATTTGAAGTAGACTTTAGAAGGAACGGGAAGCACAATACTAAGCAGGAAACAAAGGATAAACCTCTACTCCTGTTCCAAACACCGGGGAGGAGTTTGAAGCGGCTGCTAGGTCAAACTATTTCGAGGAAAAAATTTAAAAAATACAAAACTATAGATATTGAGTGCAATTTTGTATATATTAATGCAACATAATTTTTTTGATTTTTTCTTTTATGCGCCGTGTCCCTTTAGCACATGGACGATCATTATTCTCCACATCTTCCTATCATTTTAGTTCCAAATAATGTTTGTTCCCTTACTCCTAGTCCCTGATCTGTCTGCCATTTACATAAACTCGTGATTTAGGCTAATTGTCGTTTCCCTTAAATACGATCTGTGATTGTTAAATTCTCAAAGTCTTCTTTCATCTTAACAAGTTCTAGAAATATAAACTGTACTGGTAATGAATAATTCCCCACTCTGCAATTCTTATTCCATAGACGAAACGTTACCAGCCTCTCACTACTCTGTGCTATTACTATGGCAGATGTTCAGATGAGTCAAATTCTTTAGTTCAGACCTTCACAACTAGGACCCACTATGTCAAGTACACGGTGGCAAATCATCCACATTCTCTTCGTTTCATTTTGATAAGGAATACGTTCCACTCAGACACCTTCTTTCCCAGAAGTGTTACTTTGGGGAACAAATTCCCGTGAAGATGCTTCCCTGATAATTACAATCTATGTCTCTTCAAGATCAGGGTCAAACAATATCTACCCTACACGTTCTCATAGTGTGCACTTCTTAAGTCTTCCTTCCTTCTCCCTTACAACTATCTTGCTCAGTAACCCTTTACCATGATTGTTTCTTTGGCTTTGAATTGAGTCAACTAGCAGTATTAAAAAAAAAAGTATAAGTGCTCTTCTTTGTTCTCATTTTCCTTAAAACTTCCTTGTTGCTTACATGTTCTGTTCATGGCATTCTCTGCACTCTTCGACAGAAAAAAATCGCTGTCGCTTCAAGTTTCATTTTTATCTGCGAGGAAATTGAACAGTATTCGCTGTCATATAGGAGAATTCGTATTACATACGAAGCACTTTAAGCACTCTTTTCTTCGTTTATAAAGAATAATAATTAGTTTGGTCTGTAAAATGTTTTTTTTTTTTTTTTTTTATTCTTGGCTTCAGTCCGTTTCCTACGTAACCTCACACCCCTGTATTTTTTCTATAAATATTTTCATGGTTCTGATGAACTTTCCGTTATGCTGCCTAGAATTTATGAATTTGAGCGAATTACTAGATTATCGGCAAAATCTCATCATTTTACAGTTTAAATGGCTAGATGTAACCTTAAGTTCTATGCTATTAG